GAATGTTGTAATCCAACTAAAAAGTATTCATTATTGTATTTATATAGGCCATGTTGTAGGCAGCTCAGACACACACGATCAAATTCGTCCTGAACTGTGTGCGTATCTGGTATTGATACAACCAATAACGTCCTCTCGTGAAAACTGAATGCCGTAATCCAACTAAAAATTAATCATTATTATATTTGTATAGGCCATGGTATAGGTAGCTCAGACACACACGATCAAATTCGTCCTGAACTGTGTGTGTATCTGGTATTGATACGACCACTAACGTCCTTTCGTGAAAGCTGAATGCCGTTTTTTGGTTGATAATTCAAAGGTCTAACAAAAACTTTTAATTTTTTGTAAGAATATATAAAATTCAATAGACCTTACATTTAATGCTTTAATATAGCCAATATTGATAATGGAACGTGTCATGGAGTAGAACACAAAATTATTTTTAGCCTAATAATTGCCTGGCATGTATTGCACAAACTGGAATTAAAATAGGCCTAAACATTTAACCAGCCAATATAATTCTTAAATATTTAAAAAGTTACAAGTGTTGAAAGAGAGAATTATAAAACGACTTAAAATAATCTTGTAATTTTGATTTTGTGGTAACCTGATATAAAAAGAGAAAATGGAAGACTAGTCAAATTAGATTTAACATTATTAAAATATAAAACGTTTTTTTGAATTAATAATTTTGTCACCGGTCGAACTGCGGTGGTGGAGCGTTTGAGCATTGTTTGAAGAACAGACCACGTGCATACACAGTTTAGAACCGTCCATTTGCAATCTTGGGGGGGGGGTATATTTTGTTTATTTACGATTAAACGGTAAAATGTATTCATAATTTATATTGTGCAAAATACAAGATTCTCTATGCGCAGTACAAGGGAGCAGTTGTAATATAGGAAAAGCAAGAACAGAGTAATTATTGGGAGCGAGTTGTAAGTGAAACTTTCACCAGGTAGGCAATGGTATAGCCATAGTACATTTTGGAATTCCCAGCCGAAATTCAGCATAAAAAAACGCGGTTCACAAGAAATTCACGTAAATTCAATTAATAAACGTTGTTTTATCAATTATTATCCATAAAAAATGGACACTGCACTCACTATTACGACCATCTCTCCTAATAATAACGGTTCTGAACGGCGAACTACCCATCCAGCATAGATCATTAACCTCCGGTGTACAGGCGGCATACAAAGAGGCTGTTTTCACATGTTTTCGTACGGTTGGGTTATAAATTGAAGGTGGCCTCACAACATGCGATTGAACAAATACTGTTATAGAACCATGTGAATGTTGTGGAACAGCCTGCAGTTGACACTTCGGTATTTATCTTGTAACGTTTTGAATAAAATCTAGGCCTACATATTTATTTAGCATGGCGTTGATATTATAAGCGTGGTGCACGCAATCTGTGTTTCTGTGGCAGTCCTTTCGTTTTTTTTGTTTTTTTTCTCGTATAGGGCGTAGCAGGCGAGGCCACACTCTTAGTGCTGTACTAGTTTGGTCACAGATAGTTTATTATCGCTAGTCCTACACAATAATAAAGAGTCATTCAAGCGTCACACATGAGAGACTAGATTTCTGTTTATGAGGGTGTTACGTAATATAAGCAATGCTAGTAATTATAGGATTAAGATAACGGTGTTTGCAATCAATCCTTTGTGGTAAGGCCTGACATATGGATTGGTCGTTTTAGGTCGTAAACCAACGACCTATTAGGAGCTCGTTAGAGCTCGTTTTGGTCTATAGTGCTCTATAGTCCTTGTATTAGCATACCATAGGGTAGTTTCATCAAAGTTTTTATAGTTTCTACATGTTTTATATTTGTGTTTATTTTTCTCTTTAATAACTTTCCCGAATTCAATATATATAGCAGAGTGGTCACTAAAGCCAGTATAGAGAACACCACTATTCCTTACTTTTTCCAGGGAAGAGACATAAATGTGGTCTATAGTGTACTGGTATTTACCGTTATGCGGGTAGCTTCAGAGATCACTTGCTTTAGGTGATATCTAATCGTTAAATGTGTTAGCAATATCTTTAGGATTTGTTTTGTCAGTGTTAGCAGTTTTAATACTATTTATATTTACATTTTTTTTTTTACCAGATACTATTAATCTAATGTTATCGCAAATCTTTTTTGGGTCTTTTGTATTTAGTTTTTTTGCAAAATAGTCTTGTTTGCATTTTATAAGTTCAGAGTTTTTTTTAAATTTCTTATATTCCGTCCAAATATGAGGTTCATTTTTCTTACTGGCTTTTCTTTTTAAGGCATCTCTTTCTCTCATAATATGTAGAAGGTTTTGAGTTAGCCATGGACAAGATTTTTTCTCATTCTTTTACATTTTATAGGTGCGTTCTTATTTGCAATATACAAACAGCATCATTGACATTTTTGTAATTTATAATTTTGGTCCAATTTGCATTTAGTATATCAATTCTAAATTTAGTTTCATCAAAGTTTTTATAGATAGGTGTTTTGAATAAGTGCATTAATTCAACTAAGTAATTTTGGAGTTTTATAAAAACATTAAAAAAAGATTTATCCAGAATTCCAACTCTTAAAGACAAATATG